CAGAAACATTTAGGACATTTCGTCCCACACGAACTCAGCCACTGTTGGGGTTCTCCCCCTTTGTACAAGGAAAGGGCCTCGCTCACTTTGTTCACTTCCCACCGTAGAGTTCCGCCACGGGACAGTTGCGTTCTTGTCTGCAGTGGTGAGGTGCCCTGTGTGTCCCAGCTTTCCTGAAAGACACTTACGGCACACTTCAGAGCTCGCATCCGCGTTGGAAGTGGTTCTTCCCCTCGTGTTCATTGCTTGGCCTGAGTGCAACAAGTAGGGGACTCAGCACCAGGCTCCTGAGCGGGGAACAGCTCCCCCAACCACGTAGGCAAGGATTTTATTCGCGGTGTCGAGGAGGAAGTGTCACGCTGCACAACCTGCTTAAAGTTTACGACCTGATGAGCAGGGAGGGAATCGCACCCTGCGGGTTCGACAAGAGGCGAAAAACGGCACGACGTTGGGCTCACCGCTGAAGTCGCCCTCCTGGTCTGAAGTCACCGAAGTCGCGGAGGACAACTCCGAAGAAGGAGACGCGTTGAGCAGCGAACGTGACGTACAGGTCGATGGCTGCGCGAGGGGGAACAGCTCAGACGGGCCACTTGAACAAGATGTGGCGGGCATGTGGCTCAAGCACCGCTGGAGTTGAGTGGACTGGCTCCCCAGGGGAAACACCCCTAGTCAACCAGCCACCCCCCTCCCCGATGCAAAGGGGTGTCACAGGCCCCTAAGCAAAGGTGCAGCACTTGAGCCAAAATGGCTACTCTCTCTCTCTCTCTCTCTCTCTTTGCTCATGTATTTATTGCTTTGTGCCCATGTTTCTTTATGTGCTTGCTTTTTGCTGATGTCTTAATCTGCTTTCTTTAATCCTGTCCTTCTGTCTTGAGTTATTTAGTTCCTTCTTGAGCTCTTTCTGCAGCTCTTCTCGTTTCCGTCCTTCCTCTCTTCCTTCCTTCCTTCCTTTCTTTCTTTCGTTCTTTCTTTCTTTCTGCATGTCCTTCTTTCGTTCTCTCATTCTGTCGCACTTTCTCGCATTGTTCTATCTTCATGTCTGTCTTGCTTCGTTTCTCGATTTCCTTCTCGCTGCGTGCCTGGATGGTCAGATCCCAACACCCAAAACACGAAAGGAAAAACAACGAGGGGCCCAAACCAGCAACTAGCTTCCCACAGAGAGCAGCAGGCTGGCCGCCGCTAAGGCGCTGACCACCAGCACAGCCTGGCTCAGCTTTGGAAGCGAGCAGGGAGAATTGCTACTTCCAACGAACCACGCGAGACAACATTTGCCGGGCATGCATCGAAGCAGTTCGTCGCGAGGTCACCCACATCACGACCATCACTGCCAACAACCTCAGTCGTGCTTCGAATACCGGCACCGTCCTGACGCCCGTGAGCTTGTAAACACCACATTGACACATGGAAGTGAACCCGGGTCCCCAGTAAGCTCAATGCCAGGCAATTGGCAACACCAGCCTCGGCTTGTGAGGAGCCGGGTTGAAGGGAAAGCCTGGCCGCGAACTCGTGAGGCTTTGGCGCGCAACATGTTCGCAAAGAGCGCACGCCGCCGAGAGTCGTCTGGCTCGTTTGCTACCTGAGAGACTTAGGTTTAGAACAGCTTCTTCAGCTAGCGGCGGTCAAAATAAGGCGATGGCAACTTGCGAAGACCTGAGCCGAGCTAAGGAGTATGCTGCTCTAGCTCCAAAAGTGGACCGCTGTCACTGTCCACTTGGTTCCATGACTCCAAAAGCGTAGCGAGCAGACTCGCCTGTCCGATGTTCAAAAGAAAACACTTGAAAAGAGGTCCATGCAAGCCAGGGGAAGGAAGTGGAGCAGGGAAACCTTCAGGGGGCCAGCAGGTTTAAGGAGCACGCGCGAAGGGTCCGTTTGGTACGCTAAACCCAACCAGTGCGCACTTCAAGGCACCAAGCCGGAGGGTCTAGGGTAGGGTTTAGACGAATAAACCAAGGTTTTCGCACTTCACGGCACGAAAACGGAAGGTTCAGGGTAGGAGGGCTCACGGCTGGCATAGAGGGCTTCCCACCCAACAAGTCTTCCCACCTCAGTTTTGGGTTTACGGCTTTGCCAACCACGCGGACTTCCTACCCAACAACTCGCTTTAGGCTTAAAAGGGGAAGAGATCCTTCAAGTTCTAATGCCTGAGTCCGTCTCAACCAGGACGGAAAGTTGTTCTTGTCTCACAAAGCCTCCAAGACTTGGTGGATCGACGCAGAAATGGGCCAAGCGAAGCCACTTGAAGTGAAGTTGTGCAGTTCTTTCCGACGGAAGGTTTCGGCTTCCCACCCAACAGCTTCTTTTTGGGTCTGTGGTCTTGCCAGGCAGCATCTGTTTCTTTCGCTCAGGGTCTAAGGCATCCCACCCACCTTTAAGGTTTGCTCTGTCTTCCTCGCTTTCGAGACTCACGCTCGCACAAGGCAGGCAAGGCTCCACACGATCCAAGCTCACTTCAGCAGTGACTGAGTGCACGCACGACAAACAGCCAGAACTCGCTGAGGCTTTAGGATTTCGGGGCGACTTTAGGGTCTCTTGTTGAGCCTCCCGCCCTGTTTCCTTCCTTTCTTGCTTCCTGCCCATTTTTCTAGTAGCCCGAGGTCGGGGGAACCGAAGGGGCGGGGGGGATTCCTTGTTGCCTCTCAATCCATAATGTCTTCATTGCGTATGGAAGGGGGCCCCCCTTTTCTTAGAAGCAGCATGCCTGCAAAGAGTGATTAAGGACCCGGTCACGGCTTGGACCTATAACACCCTTTCTTCTTTGGGTGCATTGGTAGACGACCAACACTGCCCCAAGCTCCCCAGAGCTTTCGTGACCAGACCTATATGGACCCTGCGGACCCTACGGACCCTGCGCCTTGCTGCCAGGCGCTGAGCAAAGGTCGAGGACCAGCTCGGGAGCCGGTTTGGCATCCTCCCGGTTCCGAGTCACTTCATCCCGGCAGTATGAATCACCGGCTGCGGAATTAAACCCCGTAAGCCGATATGCTGCCTTGATCTACCTGAGCTAGTCTCATAACATGTCCAGACTGAGAAGTATCGAGTCCGCGCAGGGTCCGTGCTTGCATGCCCATGTACTGCCACCTAGGAACACTTCCTAGCAGCTTTCGACGATAAGGGCCATAAGTTTTAAGTTTCGCCTCGTGCCTGCACTGCATGTGCCAAAGCAATGGCGGGCAGCATGGATGTCGGCTCTTGGCTGTAGACCTGCATGGGTCTTGTGCTCTTCATCTTAGAATCTTCAAGACCACACTCCCGCACTGATGAAAAACGATTTGGGCACCTGGGAGTCGCGCACTGGCCACAATTGATTCGCACACCGACCCGATTCGCGCACAAGCGCGGCAGATTCGCGCACGAAGAACACGGTGGATCCGAGCCCTAGCCCTTTTGGCTACACCCCCTGGCCTCCCCCGTCAAGTGCTCAACCGTGCTGCCAATGTCCTTGCTGGGATATGATACCACGAACAGAAAAAGCGAGAAAAGCGATTATGGCCTGCTTTTGACCACTGGACATCGCAGGCTTTCATGGACCACTAGTTGGATCTCTATTAGTTCATGGACCCACCAGAGCATTCAAGGATCCCGAGGCCGCAGTTCAGCACTTTTTTCTGAGTGCTGCATGCTTCGGTACCTGAAAAGAAGACTGCCCTTGAAGGGCCGCGTTTTGCAAAGCATTTGCAAGGCTTCGCTCCTCAACCGAGCCGCGGTTCTCACTGGGCTGCAATCAATGTGAAGGCTTCCTGTGTTTAGTTGATGGTGGGGGCCTTGGCGGTACAGGTAAGAGCCATCTACAACCTGTTAAGACTTCCTCCAACCCCCTCCCTGCGTCTACGATGAGTAAAGCAGCAGTCCTGACCGGAGCCAGAGAGAAGAAATCCGTCCGAGTACCAGGGCAACGGATGGACGCCCCATCCCATTTTCCTGAGACCGGCAACGGTTGGCCACTAACAGACTAACATGGTGCCAGACCACGGCTGAATGCCTGATCACCGTCAGGATGTCTCGACTAGCCTTCGAGATTCTTGCGAAACAAGCCACGAGTCGCGAAGGAATGAAGACTACTACAGCCGGCCTTGCGTGGGTTGAGACGGAGAGTCTGCCCGGGTCTTCGCAACACGGCCTCGCGACGGCGACGACTCAAACGGTGCGGATTCCAGAGCAGCGCTACGAAGTCATAAATCAAGGACCTGGCCCGCACAAAGCGTCGCAGCCCTAGTCCTGAGGTCAAGCCTCAATAGTCGCACAGCGCCCAGATATCTGCGGTGTTCCTGAACACTTAACTAGATGACCTTACCATTACTCATTGGCCACAGCTTCCAGTGAAGAGGGATGGTAATGCAGTCTTCCTTGCTGTAGTTTAGGATTGCTCGCGACGAGCCCAAGACTAGCTGTGACTAGCTAGCTGGCTTCCTCAGATCGCCTTTCACTGATCGTCGTTCTCCGTTCTTCCCGGGATTCGCCCGTCTCCGGTCCCGTCTTCCCGCCGCAAAGTGTTGCGAAACGATAAAGCTGCCGTCGCCTTGAGACCATGCTGCTGGGACTGAGCTGTGAACCGCAGGCGACTACGATATGATGCAGGAAGGCTCTCGGAACCTCGCCCCAAATCTCAGCACTTCGACCCAACTCTATCAGCACTGAAGGCACTGCCTCTGGAGCTCGTCGCAGGCAGCGACCTGCCGGGGAGTGCTGGGGCTTTCTGGCTTTGTCCGAGGTCGGATTCTGAGGACCCTGGCCTTGGCTGCTGGGCTGCGATGGCACATTGCGCAGCCTGTGCTTCAAGAGATGGACAGCTCCTATAGTGCGGTTTTCACGCGAAGCGCAGCCTGGAATCTAGACCTCGGAACATTGCATGGCTGCGACTGGTGGCCGTTGCTCCTTTTGGCTTGCTTGTGCTTGCTTGCTACAAGTCTAAGTAGTGCCCACACTGCGGCTTGTGAATGTCTTGTGCTCTGGAACCTGAACGTGCGTAGCTTCGTATGTTTTTCTGCACATGGCGCGCTGGGATCGATGGACGTGCCACGCAGAGGACAAGCCATCAACACTCAAGAGGAGCTACAGTGCGCAAACTGGGTTGCTGCGATCCTCAGCCCTTGCCCTTATGCAGAGCAGCTTCCGGCCTTTTCTCATGCAAGCACCAGCTCCCGCCTGGTGACTTTCGTCCCTTGGATCCCGGTCGGATCTCATCCCTTAGCTTTCTTGGCAAGCAGACACACCTCCAAAAGAAGCAGCGAAACACGACTGCAGCTTCATCATGAAAGATGTTTTCCGCACACAACACAATTCGACAAGTCAACCGATCAAGCTTGCAGTGTCCTGAGAGGGTCCTGTCTGTGCCACGTTGCAGGGAGCTCGTCCTGCGTCGGAGCTCCCTCAGCAGGCCCAGCGCAGAGGCTGTCTTGACTTCTTTGTGACACGTGTCCTGCGGCAGCGAAACCGAATAGAGTCGCCGCAAGCCGTGCTATCCGATGGGGGCTCCTGTGGAAGAGCTTCTGCAAAGCTCTCGAGCTCGCCCCGGAGGAACTGCGCCGCCGCATCCAGGAGGGAAGCTTGCCTCGGCATGGATTCAGCATCCGACTCGGAAGCTGTGGCTCTGACCACTTGCGGTTCAGGCCGCAGGAGCAGCCCTGTGGAACTGTGCTCATCACTGCTACCTGGCCAAGATGCTCCGGGGTATTCATTCAGTTCAGAACTGCAAGGGCGCGACAGGGTTCCAAAACCTGGCGGCAATGCCGGAGCTTCGGGGGCCTGGCTACCAACCCTTTTCGGTTGCAACTGCTGGACCCTGCAAGGACCCTGCACCCCCTTTTTGCCAAGACTTCGACGCAAGAATGCGGCACGAAATGACTGCGGGGGCCCCTCCACGAACTAACACTGTTTGTGGACTATCATGCGGACGCCTTCATGCCCGAATCGAACTAGTGCGGCTCCGGCGTGGCCGTTGAACGCGAGGCAGTGGTCACGGCAGAATCACCCATCTGGCAAGCGCGGGCCCTTTGATGCCTTGCGGAGCGCAGCTCGGCTGCCGCTCCCTACAAGAAGCCGCGCGCCGACACTGCAGTTGAAGAAACATGCCGTGCGACGCATGCGAGTGGCGACTGCTCTCGACTGATCTGAACACGCTCATGCCACGGGCACGCGCACAAAGCTGTGAGCCCTGCGACATCCTTGGACAGACTAAACGCTACTCAACTCGATTTGCTGCGGCCTCGCAGCGCGACTTCTGCAAAGCCCAGTTCACCGATGGCCGCGATGAGTTCGGCGGAGGCATCTGGACGAGACTCGCAAAGGGTCTGGATCTTGCCTTCTTTTGGGACGCTACACACGCAGGACCCGGCCTGACCAACTGAAGCTCGCCTGTGCAAACGGCCAGGCCGAACCACAGCCTACTCCAATCATGCAATGCGTGCCTCGGCATCCTTCAAGAGGTCTTTATGATGTTGCTCTCGCTGCAGCTGCCTTGCTGAGGAGCATGGAGGCCCAGCCTCCCTTTGCAATCGGCCCGTGCCTCAACCGCTGCTCCTGGCGCTCGACTCGCAGACTCAGATCTCGAGCCTGTCCAGGACGCGGCTTTCCTCACCGACAAAAGCGCGCACGCCGCGCACGCCCTTTTGCCGAGAAACTTTGCCTTGGCCCGTTGACTTCGAAGCGCGGCTTCCAGAGCAGCGGTCTCTGTCAAGGCTGCCTCGAGCTGCGCCTGAGCTCGCACAAGCGTGACCACCATGGAGGAAGGTTGCTTATACAGAGAGAAACGACAAAGCGATAGTGAACTGCTTATTGCGCAACGTCTACGTAAGGCCAGCTGCGTCTCGGCTGGCAGCACGATTTTTCAGGTCCTGGATTCGCTCACTGGCCTCTGCTCTCGCCGCTTCCTGCAGCGAACGCTGATCAGATCTGATGAACTCCCTGTAGACTTCCTTCACCTTGCTCGCGCAGCGGCATCGGCATTTTTTGCAGCTGGGTGCGGCTGCCTCCTCCTTTGGGATGCATGCTTGGGAACCCCCTACGCTGCAAGCCGGGCCACCGCGACCGCAAGAGCAGCCGGAGCAGCCCACAACTAGGAACGACTCTTGTTGTTCCTCGTGTATGGATGCGGTCGCATCCTCATGACAAGAGTTGACTCGGGTGAGATCTGGTAGCGGGACGCCAGGGAATCCTCTTTCAGGATCTTGCCCTCGTGGGAAAGCCCGAACATGTCCTCGGGACAACCCGTCTTGTCAACGATGGTTCTCTTGACCTCAACAACGGGCTTCTGCAAGTCCACTTTGATTACGATCGTCTTGTTCTGTAGGTCTTTGACAAAAGCCTGGACAAGCTCGTCATCGTGCCCTGACGTTATCGATGCCAGTGCTTTCCTGGCCTTTTCTGCGTCGGCTTGTGCTTTCGATGCCAACTGCGAGGTTAGCTCTGCCAGCACCTGTGCTCGGATCAGTGTCGTGCTGCAGTCTTTCTCTCGCAGCTCACGCTTGAGTTCGGCAAGCTGCCTGTGATGGCATGCAGCTTGCGACCGGAGATGGCCAAGAAGCTGTTCCTGTTGAAGAATATCCCTTCTCAGTGATTGAATTGTGCAGGCTTGCTCTGCCACTTTCTTCTCCTTCAACTCGAGCCTCCGGGCCAAGTCTGCACTCCGAAGCACCAAACATGTTGCCTCATGTCCTGCGCAGGCGTCCTGCGGACCTGACCATCCACAGCTATCGCGAAAGCGCGGGCAACGGACAAGAACTTCGTCGAGCAGGGTCTGAACTAAATGATTGGGATTCATCTCCCAGGAGTTCAATGGAGATCTGCACGTGGGACAGCGGGCGTCGCGCTTTAACGCACGCTCGATGCAGTCTCGACAGAAAACGTGCTGGCAAATGGATGACACGGGCTTCACGAAGACCTCCGTGCAAATCACGCATCTCAACGCTTTGGATACGGCCTGTGGGTTCAGCAGTTGCTCATCAGGAAGTCCCATGGCAGCAGGGAAGCTCTGAGCTTGTTAAAGCTTGGAAAATTTGCCAGGCATGCGGCATGAGCGGCATGAGGAGACTCTCACGTCTTACATGGGACGACATGCCCTTCGGTGTCTATCGCCGTAAAATGGCTCTGGTTGCTCCTCCCACCGCACTGCCTGCAGAATATGCTTCCCTGCCACACTGCCACCGCAATGCTGCCACGCCTCTGTGGCAACTTCTCGGGCCTGCAGGCTGCCAATGAGTGCCAGGCTTCCGCCACAGTCAGATGGACAAACAAACGAGGCCCTGGCCTGCTCGGCAAAGGCCTCCTGTGGCAACGCACGTAAAGGTTACCCTTGTGACGAAACACCTGGAAGTCAACCAAAGAAATTTCGAGGGAGCCAAAATACCCACCCGCCCTGCAATGGAAGTCAAGGGACTCTGTCAGAGGGTCCAAAGAATGAGAAGGCAACATGAGGCAATGACAGCGAAACGGCTGTCACGGCATACTGTACGCTGTACCTTCGCCAGTTCCTGTAGATAGAAACACCTCTGTTCGGGGCATGCGCAAATGCCGAACAGATCGAATGCATGCTTTGGGCAAACCTCGCCAACATGTGACGAAGATCTCTCCCCGATGAACTGCGAGCGTTGAGACTTTTGTCACCCACTTGGGACGATGAGGTCAGCACTGCGAGGTCATGAGGGTCCACGAGTGTTCCAGGAACGTAACATCTCAAGGTTCACAACAACAAATCACACAAGAAAGCAAAACTCACAGCTTTGAGTGAAAGCTGCTTCTTGACACAACCACGATCTGCTCGTGAGATTCGGCCCTATTTGTCGCAAAGTTGCAGCAAACGAACGACTTCGGGCTTCAGCTGGGGCCATGCCGACCACTTCTACCACCTAAACCAAGCGTGGCCACCGACCGGGGAGCAGCAGAAAGAAACGCCAGTAGTCAGCGAGTGTTTGTGCAGCAGAAAGCGTCAACGCCTCGGCGGCGACCCGCAGGCGGGTCTTGCAAAGGAACTCTTTCTCGACTTCTTGGTCCTGGAGTTGCGGGAACCTAGATCAGGTTGGACTGATGACTGATACATAACAGAAGCTTCAAGGACAACAATGCAAACCCACTCGTCCTTTGCCTTCGACACCGCATGCGCTTCACTAAGACACTAAGAGGATGTCTCCGAGTCAGAAGACTCAGACCACTCAGGCGATGAAAGCTCTGATCGCTCTGATCGCCATGACTCGTAGGCCCGTGAGAGCGTGAAAACCACTTCGGTGAGAAGTGCCTTGGCAAGGATGGACCCGCAACCTGGCAATGTCGCAGCCCCGTCCAAGCCCATCAGAGAGAGAATCGACGTCAGGAAAGCCGTGGAGGTGCCGAGGGGAAGCACGATCGCTGTGTTGGACATGAAGCTCAGATCGGCGATCTTGCATGCAATGATCTGGACAAGGTCCAGCATCAACACCTTCTTGGCAACTTTGCAGATGAAGGCGCGGCCATCTTTCTGCGATCGCACGTATGTCAGCACAGTGCCAAGGATGGCTCCCAGCCAGAAAAGTGTCACTGCCCAGCCAGTCGGTGAATCAAGGACCAAAGTGCAAGTGACAAGTCTGGCCACATGGAAGCTTACAAAATACCTGACGCACAGCTCAAAGAAAACCCGATGCCCCATGTCCAGCTACCTGTCGAGTTGTGGCACTAAGACTGTCCTATCTTGTTTCACTAGTTGTTTTAATTATTCACTCGTCTAGAGTCTAGACTAGCCAAAGCAGCATAAGAGTCGCGTGATCTGCATCCACCGCATGCTTGACGTCGATGCCTGCTGCTGATGCTCGTCGCAAGGAAGCTGTCGACATACCCGCTCTAAGCAGTACACCAATGGTGGCGTCAACTACACTAGATCGTGCCCCGATCTCGCGCCAGATTCTGAGAGCATCGTCTTCCCAAGAACAGCGTGCAAAGCAGCTGCTCCCCGAGTAGCCAGCCTCCAAACTCATTTCGCTTGCCTCTGTGGCTTGCCGATTTACTCGGTCCACCTCCGCAACTGTTAAGCATACCCCCATCGAGCACCAGAAAAGAGTCCACGCTGTCACAAATGCTGACACTTGCTTGTGAGGAAAGTGCAGCAATTGCAGCGGCACAAGCGAAACAGCCATAAAGAATCCAGCCAAGCCAGCATTGACAAGGTGAGCAATACGGCGGCAAAGCGGAGAAGAAACACAGTTGGATATGAAGAACAAGCAGCAGAAAATCGTCGTCAGCCAACGTGCTGGCGTGGAGTGGTATTCGCAGCATGAGGTCCGACGGCCCACGCAAAAGCCAACGCCAAAAGAAAACACTGCTGTGCTGGCCGCTTGCAGCTTGCGCCGGTGGTAAGGCATGGTAGCTGTCAGAATGATTTTTTCGTGCTCAAATGCAAGAAAAGCTTCGTAAACGCACCATAACCTAGGGATTTACACTGTCGCCCACAGTTTTAAGGGTGCGGTCTATCGAAAGGCTGCACGAACAGACTCAAACATATATCCAGATGTTAGCCAACCAGAAGTGAAGTGTAGCACCTAGTCGTGCTAGTACAATGTAGTATTCGATGTAGCAGGATATCCCGAGAACCTCGCATAGACGCTTTCATGCTCGTTCGGCACCACGAGCACATACTTGGCAGAGATGAGTGCGAGTGCAAAAGGAGAGGACTTCGGTTCGCTGATCAGCCTCTCGATGTTGAGGTTCTGGGGATTCGCGAGCATACAGCACCAAGCATTCCTCGCATCAAAGGGCCAGGAGTTCAATAGCTGCCGGGTGAACTCGAAGATGCCTTCCTCAGGGATCTGCATCTTACGAACAACCCAACACTGTTTGGGCCACCTGTTCCAAGCTGGCCCGCAACAGAGCTCAAGGCTAAGTCACACGTCCCACCCTACCAGTCGTTTCCCAAAGAACAAAGAACTTGTGCAACCTTGGTGAGGCTACACAGCTGCACGAGCCCCTTCTTTGCTCTGCTAGTACCTGCCAGGCGTGCGTGACGAAGACGTCGCATGCAAGCCCACCAGGATGCCTCATCAAAGACCAGCTCATGCCACCAGCAGCCAGTGTTATGGGCTTTATGAGCTGGTCGGTCAAGGTATAGATGCTGGGACCAATCTTGTGGCAAACAAGGCCGAAAACGAGCTTTACTCTAGGACATCTGGTAGATAGTCGGTGCTTCGTGCTACCTGCTGAAAAGAAAGCCGACAATCGGTATTGACAGGCAACGGTCCCATCACTCTTGTCGAATGGATCTGCTGCAGACGGTGCCACCCACCCAGCCTCTAAAGCATCAAGAATCAGTTGGTGGAGATGCGAAAAATCTTCACGTGTGACACACCAGCGGTCAGGTGGCACGAGGCGATGCAGAGCTTCGCCGTCGCTGATGTCATGATGCAGCTTGTGCTCGGGAGAGCCGTTGAGTTTCATTTCAGCGATGGCTTGGATCAGAGATTCCTCATCGAGCGCTCGCTCGTGCCCACATATGCAGCGCCGACAATCAACCATTGTTTCGGCAACTGTGCGCCAAGCCCTGTCTAAACAATGGTCATACACTGGTAAAGGACCTGGTGCTTCGATGTTTCTTTGCATGCTCGTACGGCAGAACCTGCTGTGATTTTCAGCAGATTTGAACTCATGTTGTGATAACACGCTACTGGAATGAAGACGGTTGAGAATGTATATATTTCAACACCCTGCATACTTCGCTGCTTGTTTATGAGCGTATGAGCCAAACCACACCGAGCCAAACCAGTATAGAATCAGAACTTCTGACACGATTGTCTAACCAAAAGACCCCTCTGTCTAAGAGCTAATCGTGTCCAACATAAAGCCTGGTCCAACTAGAAACCCTTGTTTAAGAGTAAACATTGTCTAACAGAACATGCACATGTACGCTACTCGCCATAACCCTCGGACACGCTGGGAGCCCTTGCATGCTTGAGCACGATCGAAAAAGCTTCACAATTTGACCACACCTGGATGATCGCACACGAATTGGGACACCGTGGACTCAGTAGAAAGCAGGAACCCTCTGAACATCTTGCAGCCTTCGGCAGTGACGTCATACATCAGAACAAAGGTGTTTACTACCGATCTTTGCCGAACTGCACATGCGGAAGACCGTCCTCGATGGCTTCACGTGCCTGCGGCAAGTGCAAGTTTCTGCGATTTCTAGCCTTCTGCTCCAACTGAACCACATGCTTCACGCCATATGGCCCAGAAAGTTACGACCAATGGCCGTGAGAGACCTGCGATGCGCCTTCTGAGGATCGGCCTGCTCATGGACGAGCATGGCACAAGCAACAGCATCTGTCCCATGCTTCATGCGCAGAATCCCGCCGTGTTCGAGCAACGCAGAAGTCGCAGCGGCTAAAGCCACATCACCTGGGAACTGCTTGCCCGGTTTTCGGTGATCTTACAGGCACTACAATCAAGAATCCGACATCTGTCACCACGACTCACGTGCTGACCATGGAAGCACGGGATGCAGGTTAGAAAGCCGGCCCCCAAGGCTGCAACGAACTTGGTCAGCACGCAACCTGAGAAGGCAGGCTTCGGGATTTATTGCACCCCGGATCTAGGTCGTGCGGAGAGCCAAGCAAAACTGTCACGAAAGCCAACAGAAGTCGATCTTTACAGTGCAGGTCCGAGTTTTGATGGCCCACATTCCTTCTAGGGACCTCCTCTGTCTGCGGCCGCGCGGACTTGCTCGAGACACTCAAAGGAGAAAGCGGCCCCCCCTCTCTGCGCCAGCAGTCAAAGTAGCTTCTGCCAAGTCTTCCTCTCTGCGCAGCGCAGAATGCGCCCGGCATGGATCGCATGCCGAGAAACTTTCGGGCAGTTTCTTCCTTGCTCTGCATCCTTGCCCTCGCAGCAGAATCTCAGAAGCTGGAGGACGCCCTGCAACGTTATGACGGAGCAGCTCTTCTGCACATGTTCCGGCAGCAGCAGCTTCAGCAACCACGAGGTGGCCGCTTACAAGCTGGCAAAGAACTGTGCTAGAAAACTGTCCATCCAGTGATTCTCCAGTTCGTCCGACGTGCCATGGTCCTTGGCGGGAGATGCACGTGGCCCCGCACCCATACCCAAATTCAGCTCCAGCACATGTTGTCTTTCCGTGGAAACGAAAGGAGTGGGGCCGGACTGAGGGGTCTCGGGCCAAGTGTCTGCTCCGTCAGCAACCTCCACGTTCACTCGAGTCCAACCTGCTGCAGCAAGACGACGAATGGCGGGAAGCACCTCGGCTGAGGTCAACCCGGAACATCTGATCATCCCCCGCGTCCAGTGCTGACTTCAGTGCCAGCAGAAACCTACAGGAAAACCAATATTTGACCCATACGGGTGCTGCAAGGCGGCCCATTGCGTTCGCATTGTGTCATCTGCAGCCTGGGTGACCGATGCATCTGGCAATGACGGCACGGAAGGCTGTGTCTTACACAAAGGGGTGGCAACATGCTCCTGAGATCTACTGCGCACTACACAGGCACTTTGCTTTACGCGACTTCTCCTCCCCTTCGCTGGAAACACTGAGCGACATGCATCGAGCAGCGGCATTGAAGAAAAAGCAGGGCACATCTCGCTGAAGTGAACTTTGCAGCGGTGTCGTCTTCAGCGGATGGCCCACAAATCCAACAAATCCTTGCGAGCTGCATCATCACAACCACGCTCACTATAGGTGGCAGAAGTTCTGCAGAAGCGTCGGCAACTGCAAGCTGCATGACACAACCGCAGAAGGCAGGAACAGATCTTTGGTGAGCTCCTAACGGTGCGAACGAGGCGTCGCACCTCGCTTTCTTCTCTACTTCACATGCAGCAGGAGGTCCGCCAAGTCTTGCGGGGTGCCGCGCAAAGGCATCAAAGGCGGCACAGCAGCCTTGAGACGCCCCACCCAGCAGAACTTTGCGATGTTCTCCCATCAGGGCGGCTTCTGCATCCACGATCCTCTCGTCTCGCGTAGGCTGCTACATGAACTTGATGTTTCCTGTGACCTGTGCTTTCTCCAGTGGTCAAATCACCCCAGCCAAGCCGCATGTTGAGTCGCCGGCGTGTTGCATGGAGCGATCCATCATCAATGTCATCCTTCGAGACATCTGCAATCGGAAACACTTGCGGTGCCGTTGATCTCCCGATCAAGGCCGAACGACGGCTTTACACAAGGAGCTGCTTCGGAGGCAGGTGAAGGGACATCTTAACAACACTGCAAACTTCTGCTTCGCCAACCGAACGTTCGTTGGCCCCGAAACCTAGGCCACGAGCGCATAGCATGCGTCCAATTCGTCGCCGCGCATATCTACGACTGTAAGTTCGAGTAAAAGGAAACAAACGGTTTCGGTAGTTGTGATTGATCTTGGGATCTGCAGCCGGTCGCCAGTTTGAAACTTGTCGTATGGTGATGTGTCGTGCCAACATTCGGAGAAATCGTAACGACCATAACTGGAAGAGAGATCCCGGCAGTGTTTGTTTACGATGGTGTGCAAGCTAATGTGCAGCCTCAGCAATTTTTCGTGATGCTTGACATTGAATCTGCTTGCACACTATACGGATCCTTGCTCACCGCAACCTCTGCGAGTCTAAGCGCTTAATCAGAAACGGCCCATGCTCAAATCCGGTGGCATGAGTGTCACCCAAAAACGAATCGTTGTATGCAGAGAAGTGGTGTAGATGATTGTAGATGCCAGCCGCCCAACTACGACCAGAACGCGTCTTGCTCCAGTCACGACTCTGATCCCAAGATTGCTCCGTACTGCACACTTCCAAGATGAATCCTATGTCGGCACTTTTTGCTGGTTCGATGCCTTCCAGATTGCTGCCGAAAGAACCCGTCTGTCAAGATTGCGAGTCGTCCTGGTTGGCGTTGTGGCAATCGCATTGACCATGCGAGCTTGCGACATCGGGGGAATGATAGAGCATGCGAAGTCCTCTCTATCGCTTTTCGTCGTTTGAAACCTGCTACCAAACTATTCACAAAGCCGAAGCACAATTTGGGGTCCTGTCTCTTATAGAGACTAAACTGGAGAACTGGAGAAACAAGGCCTCGAAACCAAGCCAGCCAGTGCACCCAGGCCTGGGAAAGGGTGCACTTCCCGAACATCCACCCATTTCGTTCGGACGATGCGACAGACAACGAAGAACAACTCGAAGGAGGGAACTTGGTTGGGTGGCTTTCCGTGCAGGCAGCGGATCATGCTCACCTCTGCATTGTGGCACACGAGAACGACTGCACACTGCTAGAGAGTCCTCCTGCGCCCCGTCATGGTCCGTTAAGTAGTCATACCATGCATTCCTCGGAAGCGTCATCGGAATTGCTGCGCTGCTATCTGCACCTTCAGGCGCGTTCGTCCACAAGTGCCTCTAGGCTTCTGCTTCTGGCCACCATGCGCTGTGATGCGCTGCAGGGGCGCAGTGGGGAGAATGACCCGCAAGCCCTGACAGCGGAAGAGAGTGAATACCTGGCAGCACCAGGACAACGGGAAAAAATCGTCAGCTTGGAACACGGTCTTCTCGGAGCTGCAGGACTGTAAGAGGAGCACCTCACTTTCGGAGTACATTTCCGCAGTGTTGCAGAAACCATGCAGGAACCTTGCTGCACCCGGGTTCGACCAGACACTTCTTAGGTGATGCAGGTGCTTTTCAGGCGACTGAGCAGAGGCACACCAAGGAGGCCCGTGGGGCCAAATCAAGCTGTGGAGATAGCACCACACCTGAGCCCATACTATGCCCTCTCAGTGTGCAGCAAGAGGTGCAGAATGAGACGAAAGGACTAAAGTGCACACGAGCGGCTGTTCGCGTCCGAATACGGTACGGACGAGTGCAATGGCCGGGCTTGCGCGCTCTTCCGGGGAGTCTCACATGCAGCACCTTTCGGCCGGTCATTGATACCCCTAGCCTTGTGGCCTTATGAGGCTGAATGCCCATGCTAAGCTTGCAATATGTTGAATGTTCCATGAAGCCGACAAGATAGAAGCCCTACGTAGCCAGGGACTAATCAGAAAATTGATTCCACCGTCTTCATTTCACCCCAGACAATACTAGATTGCTAGATCACTCGAGAGCACATTGGGCCTGAGGTCCCAAGACGGGGCACCCGAGAGAACATTCGAGTGGTTGGGGTTGGCGACATTCGATTGTCTCGATAATGCAGAAGATGGCTCAGGTACGAATGCTAAGGGCCCAACAGCAGTCTGCAGCCGGAGTGTTGATCAGCGTGCATGTCCAGCATGTCCAATTAGCCAGAGCGGCATCGCAAGCTGCACAACCTTTCAATCTGAGGGAGTGCCACGTTCACCGCGTGCGGTGAAATATACAAACCGAGAGGCGAAGAGCTCCAGATGCATTACGTAGTGTGCACCGTTGACACACGACATTCAGAATCTGTCGCCCTGAGCTCTTGGAGTTTGGCTACTGATGGAGGGACAAGTGCAGAGGGTCGCTGGCCTGCCCGGAGCCGCTTCGCAACATAGGCACGAAAACCCGAAGCCGAGCCTGCACGAATCTTGGCAACACTTTCAGAGCATTCCTCAGCCTTGTTCCACAAAGCAGCCTCTTCGCTTGGGAGGCATGGACGTCGAAGCCATGCAACACAGCAGGTGTAAGACCAAGAACTCCCCAACTTTCAACAGCTGTATCGGCTGTATCCATGTCTAGCTCTGTATTTATAACAGGATGGGAACTCCCTGCAGAAAGCTGGTCCATTGGAGTCAGGTTCAATTCACGTGCTCGCCCTGAATTCGGAAGGACTTTCTTGAGCTTGAGCAGCGCTACACGGATGACCAGCAGCCGTCACGCTTCGCATGGTGATGGTGACTAGCCCGATGCCAAAAACCCTCAATGTTGAAGCCTAGTCAAGTCAAGCTCGTCCAGCTGAACATTCTGACGAGATCCTTGTCCGTCTGAGGGGTTCGCAAGCATTCATCAAGCCTCTCTGCCCAGTCCAGCTCCTGAGATTTCTTGCATGCTCAGCCGTGCCTGTGCCGCTTATGCCCTCGTCTGTGCGTCCATGTGGCAATGTCCGAGCCCATCCGCCATCCGCTCCGCTCGAGGCGAGGAAGTGACCGACAGACCGACAGCCTCTAGACGAAATTCTAGATTCCCCTCCAATGGCATTGCAAGCATTGCATCTAGACTTTTTCCTCTCCGCTGTAAGCCTACCAGAGGGAAGTGCAAGTTGAAGTGGCCCGCGGCATGAGACACAGAGCTGGCAAGGTCGTTAGTTTTTGTGACCACGTCGAGTCGCGATTGATCAGTCGAGGCTTTCGCCTAAGGTCCCTGCGGTAGCTCTGCAGAAGTGCAAGAGTAAAAAGAGGGCACCGATACAGTTCGGAGTCGCAGGTTGCGACATTGTATGCAGCCTTGATGGCTGAGCCGGTTTGAAACCTCCAGTGGGTCACGGGCCACATGCCTCGAAACTATTCGTTTCACAGGGTACGTTGAACAGGTTACAGCTGACCAACATACAACTGTCCACAAACAAAACAACAGCTGACCCACCAGCTCTGCATGCGCAGAGAAAGCAAGAAACTGAAACTTCCTGCCACTGCGCCTCACAACCACTGCAAGTGGAGTTGAGTCATCGTTGCTGAAAAGATGCACTCAGCAAGGCTTCCGACAAACATGTCGAACATGGCACGGGCAGCAGCTGGCAAATGGTATGCACAAACGATTCCTACATGATGATCTTGCGATAAAACAGTTGCTCAGCAGTCTCAGTGTGCTCCGTTTGGCACTCGGGGACCGCCGGTCTTGTTAAGCATTTACTAAAGTGTACACGCCACTCGCTCGTGGAATAGCTCACACAACGGTGGCCTCTGGTTTTAACAGCAAGTCTGGACGGTTTGAAAGTGGTAGCAGCGGCATGAGCCACTCGACCTTCTTGGAAGAAATCGAGAGTCTCAAAGGCCGACACCGGTCAAATCACATCTGCTGGGTTTCGGACTAGCTAACTAGCTGTTACGATTCATTACAATTAGGACCGGGCCCACCAGGACCCAAACATGATCAAAATTGAAGTCCAGTCATAGTGGTGATTTTGAAAATACACCCTCTGTGACCATATCGGGTCAGCATCTTGGAGACACTGCCCTAGGCAACAGCTGAGAAGTCTCAGACATGCGTGCACCACCAAAGGTCTCGAAAAACACCACATGGTCGCAAGTGTCGCTGGCTCAAGGAGATGAGTACAGCGCCTAGTACTAAGCGGCGCGAAGGCTGTCAATCAAGGGTTCGGTTCAGCGGAGTCGGCTCTGCAGTCTGCTCAGTTGGTACACTCTGCACACTTTGACTTTGCAGAGTTTGCATGGAAGGAGCACCCTTCATGAGCAGCGTAGGGAAGCCGGGCTCCAGCCTCGGAGACTAGGAGTTAGAAGCTTGGTGCACAGGTGTTCCGACTCTTATGCTCGTACAGGACATAAATCCACAGTTGGAGGCAGGCCAAGCTGCGAGTTGGTTGGCGACTGCAAGCCACTGGCCTCTTCTGCTCGTCTCAGTTTGCCAACACCTGATTCACCAGCATCGAAGAGAAACATGCCAATGCTCATCAAATTGGTTTCAATATTCGCTTGGACCTCCCAGCCATTGCCAGCCAAGCTGCAACTGGGTTCGCGGGGAACGGAGGTTGCAACTACTCGATGAGGGGCAGTGCTCGATGGCCGCGACGACGAGACCCGTCTTGCAGTAACCCGCAGAGCAGTGCTCACAGTGGAGCCAGTTTCGGCCTGCAAGCTCCACACAGAACCATTGCGAGAATCATTGCAGATCCCTGATGTAATTTGCATACGCCAGCAACTGGTTTGTTCTGGCCTGACTGCGGGCCATGCTGTCCCGCCGATCGGGAGCTGCAGACATGGCCTGCGCTGTCCGGCACAGTGCGCATCAGCGGCACTTCCATTCCCTTCCGACCTCTGAGCCAGATGGTGCCGCACTGGAAGATCTCCGCCTCGCCTGGGCGTAGACAACCTGCGAGGAACATGCAAGGGAGCCCGTCTGCTGGGCTGGGCATGGGTGCAAGGCCACATCCAATCGACATAAGCTTACTGACTCTCGCATGCCGCATAAAGTAAGCGGTAAAATCACCTCCTATACAAAGAGGCTGCCCACGCGGTGTTGATGAAGTTACTGTCTTTATCAAGCCCTTTCATCTGCAAATTTAACGCCGTGTGGAGCACAGGAGTCCGGGTCACGAAAGCGAATTGACAAGTCTTACGTGCGCTTCGGCAAGAAATATACCTGTACTTTCTGAGAGGTTGTATCTGTCTCCTGCTCCTCGCCTGTATTAAACTAGAGCGCAAGAAAGCACATCACAGCTATGCCACGATGACTTCAGCTCATGAGAAAGCGGGGCCTGGCTCCGGTTTGGTTGCTCTGGCGTTTGGCTGCGAGAGCTCGCCTGCCGAAAAGCCACTGAGTCACTGAGTTTTAGCTGAAAGACTCTGCCGAATGCTCCGTCCTTCGCCGTTGTAACTGGACGCCGGGCCGTGACAGTGATCCGAGGTTGCTTGTCTGGCTGACTAGCCCGCGGCTCGTAGCGATTGCCTCTAGAGCCCATGCTTGAGCTCGCAGAACGGAGACATGTCAGGCAAACAGGGAATAAGCAGAACCTAAAGAAAGACTTGAAGCCTGGAAATATGGCAGGATTTCGATTTCTGCCGACTGGCCACCTACCACAACTCTCCGAGGTGGCGAGGTCGAGGATGCTGCAGAGGCAGCAGTCGAAGCGGCATCTGCTCTTCTCACCACACGCACGGTGGCAGGTTCCCGTGACCTGCAAAAGGCACAGGATCGCACATTCCATCCTTGCCAACGAACCCTTTGCCACTCCTAGCCTTGACCTTCTCGCCTGGGCGGGAACGGCCAGGTTCTGCCCTGCCAAAAGGAAGAGGTAGATTTAGCGGATTCAGCGCGTGTGGCTTACAAGCAGACTTGATCGCCTGCAGCAGAACCGCTGGTCCAATCCGTGGGCTCTGGATAGAACGCTTGAGCTGCGGGGTGCTCCGCAGACGGCTCGCGAGATCGACTCCCGTTTCTTGCCGGAACGTTCACTGGTATAACGTGGGCCGAGGACGAATCGTTCTGCGCCAGCCAGTTGTAGAGCGCGTCCGGACTGGGACTCTCTGGCCCGCCGTTACCTGCAACACAGCCGCGGACGAAAGCCTTCAGCGAAAGAGACCTCGGGCCGAGAGGCCGTCCGCGGTTGGTGGCCGATCTTGGATCCTAGGTCCAACAGATCTTCTGTGTCTTGCCACGAGTCATATGCCCCATGCCCATGCTCGTGGTTGTTTAGCAGAAAAGGCTCCCCGGAGTGGGTGGAATTTCACCATGACTCCTGCGCCGCAGCTCGCTGATGGCAGCATTGCTCAAATTGCTCAGCTCGTCGTCGTCCCGCTCGCGACTCAGCGTGAGAGGGCGCTCTCTTGCACAAGGATGAATTGATAAGGGAAGCAATCGAGCTCTCGCTTCCGAAGAATGCACGGCAACTGGGAGCCCAGCGAGATCGCTACTGGAAGCTGCAGCTTCTGATTTCCTGCAATCACAGGCCCGAGAAAAAGCGACAAACCATTGAAAGAGTGCCTCAAGTTGTTGAGGCTTTGTGTGACACGCAATGAGCGAGGGCGTATGTGTCCTCTCTCGACTCGCTCTACGGCCACCGGCGACGGATCGTTGACGAACCCTGGAAGATCTGCGTCGGGCTCTCCTGCTGATATGTGCTGACCCCTTGCCCTGGTCTGTCTCATGAAGGGTCTCCTGGCGGGGTGTGCGTGACCACCTCCCGCAAACTTGGGCTTTTGGAAAGCTTCGCAGCTTCCTCATCCACCGGGAAGACCTTGCGAACAGGGCTGCATACAACGCAACGCCACAGACGGGCAAGACTTGAGGCCAGAACACAGAGCCTTCGATCACTGCTTCTGACCCTATGCCCTTCAAAGCCAAAGCTCAAACCTGACTCGAAAGACCCCCTGTCTGCTGTCACACTCATACACTTGCTGAACAGCCGCCTTGCTCTTCGACTTCGTTTCGTGGATGCGCTTTCGCATCATGTAGAGACCCCCTGCCGTGCTTGTATTGTGGATGCATGAGTCCTGCGTGCTTGCAAGCCTCACTGTGAGAGGCCTCCTGCAACCGCCGAGCCCATCACGATCAGAGGCAAAGCAATGGCTACTGCCAGAAAGGTGATGCCACCTTGCTCTGATTCATTGGCAATTGAGTTCCTGACAAAGTGGATCGTCCGGCCGGTTTGACTGCAACTTGGCTACAGTAGCTTGGGTTGGGGTTGTTCGGTCCTGTGGAAAACAGTGTACGCACCTCCACCTTGGGTCGAAGAGCAGCTCGCTCTTACCCCATCATCATCCACAGATGTCAGCGCCACATCAGCTGCGGTCCAGGAATTGGAACCTGAAGACTCGACCATATGCGACTACTAGTGTGACCGAAGTGGCAGAAACAAACATCCATTGCCACAAAGCTCATAACAAACGGCTCGCGGTTCTCACACTCACTGCATCCCCAAAGGATTTAAGATAGTCAACGGCTGTAGCGAGACATGCTGTTTCTGGTGTAAGGGCTACAGCTCCACGCAAATTCCTCTGCTCCAGCCGGCCACCTATGAAGACTCAACCTTCGGTCCGATCCACTCCAGGCTCGGTCTGGCAAACGTGTCTTCCAACATTGATGCCAGGGTACTGGGGTCGAAATATAGACAAATTAGCTGCGCCAGTGGATCATCGGTGCTTGGCACGACCACGCTGACAGAGACGGCTGAGCCCCGGAAGTTGATAGAGTAACCACACTTTGTCAACCTGAAGGGTGCAAACGCAAGCAAGCCGCGAAATCAAGCGGGAATTGCCATGAAGCCAGTGCTAAGCTGCCAGCTCCACAATGGTTACTGTGGCGTTCTCCGAAACCTCTCGGTTTGCACCTCAAAATGCAAGCAGTTCAAGCCTAAGGTCTGCCACGGCTAATCTCTCTGATGTAGTGTCCCATGGCTGTTCCATCGCTCCAGGCTCCTTTTCTTTTTTGAGGCCGGAGCCGAGACTCTCGTTCGCCCAAGCGTAAGGGTTCGTGCCGATCCAATCCGTGGACTGTAACCCGATAGTCTCACCTGGCAAGGCCGCGATAGCAAGGGGTGTGGAAAGCCCATGGCCTACGGTGCAGCTCCATATGCAGCTGTGAGGCAAGAAGGATCGGCTTGCAATCGCCGAGCTCCAGCTAAAGCTGATGAGGGCACAGAAACACCATGAGCATTGACGCCGTTCCTGCACTGCACAGGAAGAGTCGACAGCCTATCACGGCACTTGCAGGTCGGTAGATGGCGAGTTGAGTAGATAAGTAGGGTGGCTAGAGGTGTTTATGCTATCCTAATTTTGCTTGCTGTCCCTTTCGTGTGTAGAGAAGACTGTTTGCTCCGATCTCATCCGATGCGCCTCTGGACATCTTCCGTCGATTGCTTCTTGACCACCACCTGGGAGCCTTTGCCATCGGCACCCACGGATGTCAGCACCTGCGTGGCATTGACCTCAATCGAGTTCATCACCGACTGCCCCAGCTTGGAGGTCAGGCCGATGAGCTTCGAAGTGGTTGTGGCCTTCTGCTCCTCGCTGACACCACTGGAGGACGAGGAGCTTCCGGACACCATCGCTGCGACGCTCCCGAGCAGCGAATCTCCGGCATCCTTGTTCATCGCCTAAAAACAGGCGCACCCGCCACAGCGAAAACAAAATCTTGACGGGGGCTTTGGAATGCGAGCGAAGCTTTAACAAAGCTCTGCAAAAACAAGTCGCTGATTTCAGATTGCTAGCTACAAAGCCATTGTCATCATGATCCAAACTTTGGATTCGTTGGAAAGGATTCGACTAGGGGAAGGTGCGGTTCAATCACACGGGTGTCGCACCACTCTCTGTTCACTCCTCTATTCACTCCGACTCGCTCTGTGCATTGTGAGTGCAGAACTGGGCGATGAGAATGCACATCTCAACATTGCTCCTGAAGTGCCGTGTCCACGCATGCTCATGACTTTGTCCCATTTGAGCACACTCCATCCGCACTGTGAAACTGTCCAAACTGTCCGGCTGTGCTTTCAGTGACCAGCGAACCAACATGAGTAGAAAGCTTCCAATGTCCAGGCAAAGGGACCCCAGGAGTCAGTGCTGTTTCCAGCACAGTGTCAAGAACATCCGCCGCCTTTTCAACGATGGCCCTCAGCAAGAGCATGAAGCTCGCACATGGCCACAAACAGTATCTTCAACTTCTGAAACAAACTTATCATATTCTGCATATTCGTGAGGAGGTGCGGGTCGGCAGCTGAACTTCCCTTGGACATCGTGCTTGCCATCACATCACCAACCTGCATCAAAGCAGGCTTTGAGAGCGGCCCAGCGGCCTGGCGCGGCCTGGCGTCCTACAGTACCCGCGGGGAAGGCCTTCTTCAGGCCCGAGCTCTCGGCAGAAGTTATTTCAGCAGCCAGCTGCAAAGCATCAAGCTCTGCATTGACGACCTGTGCAAAGATCACAGAGGTCGCTGCAGCAGATTAGGGAATCGCAAGTGATCTTGCCGGGGCGTGAGAAACGCAAAGTACCGGTCATCGGATCTTATAAGCTGCAATGCGGTCGAGCATCTGCTTTCTGAGTCTCCTCGTCGCCATCGATGCTCACCGAGCTCACAGCGGCGACAGCGTTCAGGATACTGTCGGCCTGAAATACAGCAACGCCTTACCTGTGTCTGTGGTGGTATCTGAGTCCTGCCAATTCTCACATGTTGCCCGAACTCTCAGGCTCCGATTGGGGGCAGTCCGCTTCACAGGTCCCCGACCCAAGCTCACATGCAGCATCTCGAAAAATAACTTGTCCCGGCTTGGCTTGCCCTGGCCCGAGGTTCAATATGCATAGATCGGCTCGGAGAGGAAGTACTCCAATGATGCACGCAAGATTAGGCTCTTCTCACGAACAGGACCAGGACAGTCTCAAGAACCCGAAGAAGACTGAGGATAGATTGGCAACTGGTGTAGGCAAGGGAGAGCGGTAGAAAACCGGAAAAGCAGTATGAGCAGCTCAGCAGTCGTGCAGCCGGGCTGCGTTGCTTTGTGCTTTGGCACTCGCCAGTGCAGCGACCGCAACATTCGGGTCAACTCCACCCACAGGCTGCGAAACCAATGGCCCCATTAGTCCGGTTGCGCTGCTTGCCCCCAAATGATCGCCTCACATAGGCACAAACAGCGAAATTCTTGGAAAACCGAAGGTAAGGAACTCGAGATAGCACGAGAGCCCAGAAGGGATGCGGGCAGGCTTTTGGAGCCACTGAGCGCCACGCGTGAACGCACGACGGTCACATGGGATCCCAGGGTCATAGGGCTTGATGCTGTAGGCGATGTAGACCTGGAAAGTCGATGCTTGGCACTGTACAGGCAAGACCAATCCCTGCACGTCTGGGAATCTAGCCATCCACGCAGCGTCACCCCATTCAGCTTTGCCCAATGATTGGGACTCGATGCGTCCTGCCACCTGTCTGCACATGTTGTTCAAGAAGTGGAGAATTGCTTTGTCATGCCGGATTTTTGAACCTTGTTTGTTTTGTGTTCTGGGGTTTCGGGTTTCGACTCGCTTAAGGTTTTGGGGTTTAAGGCCTTTGATTCTCGCGAGGGCAAGGCTGGGGTTTCGGGTTTAGGGCTCGGGGTTCAGGGTTTATGCCTTTGGGTCTTGCCTCCTTACGAAAGAGGGGCTGTTGACTTGGGGTTCGGGGTTTGTTTTGCCGGGTTTAGTTTTTTGTGGTTTATGGTTTCGTCGCTCACACTCGGACAATCCAGGCAAGGCATGTGGTCTAAGGTCGGCAGTGTGAGACGCATACCAACATCTCCAAAGAGCTCAAGATGGCGTGGCTAGATGGGGGTTACGGCGCTCAGGGCTTAGGGCTTAGGGATTTCGACTCTCACACCATTTAGGCTAGCCAAGAAACCAAAACCCGAGAAGCCAAAAGCCAGGAAGCTGTGAGCCCGGAGCCAGCACACCACACAAAATCCCAACATAAAATTCCTAAAAAAAGAGCAACCCCCCGATTCAAGCCTGGTGGCTTCAAGTTATGCAAGGCACACTCGTGTTCAGTCAAGCCAAGACACTCAATTGCCGCTACAGCGGCATTCGTGTCCCACGGACTGGCTAGGCGTAGCAGGTCATCCAAGGCAAAGTCAACAAACTCCTTGACTGTCATGACGCAACAGCCCACACACACACACACAAAAAAAAAAAAGTACACAAATAAAGAAATAAAGGAAACACACGCTTTCCCTCGGTGTAAGCCGCTACATCGACTACGCCCGAGACTCGTATTCCAGCAAGGACGGCTGTTCATCCTGCCAGCCCTCTGTTGTGAACTCGAACCTGCCCCAGGGGAACACCGGTAATTAATCACAACACAAATGCTGCCGAAGAACAAATCTCTCACATCTCTTGATATGGCTCCCTCAGGCTTCTGATATCTTCGGGGCACGTCGTCACCACCGCATAGCCCTCCGCAGGCGTCACGTTCACCGCGTCTTCTGCTCGAGGCTGAGGCGGTCCATCCGCCAAGAAGCGATTGGAGCGCACGGCCTGCATTCCGCCTGCAAGGGCGCAGCTCGGGATGAGTTCAGGAGAAGGGCATGGAACAGGCAGCAGAAAGCCCAACAAGTTTAACGATGTTCAAAGCTTCCTGCTGAAACGGCGGTTGCCACCGTGGCATATGCTCCTCCACGCAGGTCTTGAAAGACCACGCTTGATCCGAACAGCATCACGTACTCGTAATAGCTGCCGCGGACCATTTGTGAGCCATCAAATACCGGGATGATCAACTCAGAATACGTCTGATTGCCAGTGCCTTCCGGTTCCTGACACCGTGATTTTGGAAAAAGCGGGTAATGAGCTGGCTCCCGTTTTTGCGGCCAAAGGGTCGATTACAGATAAGATCCGACCAGATGAGGACTCCGTCAGCACCCATATCCAAGACGTCAGCGGCGGAACCGTACAAAGGTCGCTTCCAGAGACCACTGCGGTCGGCCCAGCACGACCTCAGTCGGATCGTGACTTGGATCTCAGGGGTACGTCAGCGTACCACAGCACCCACAGCGCCCGCAACGCTCTGCTGACACGTCTTTGTTAGACGGCACATCTGAGCAAGGTGCCCCAACCGACTTGGGTTGAAACGGCACTGCCGTTCAGCCACGGGGTTGCAATCAGAACAGGCGGAAGACCGAAGAAATTGAGTGTGACCTAGGTTGGGTCACTTCTCACATGGCAGGAGAGAGATGCACCGGATTAGGTGTTCAAGCGGAGTCGGGCTTCAAAAATCCAAACTGAACCGTGCTGTCTCCCTGCCAGCAAGGCGCCGTTACAGAAGCTTGCCCCGCATCTGCTTCGGTCTGGTCGCGTCTCCACACGAGAACCTCGGAAGCTTTAGGTTTGCAGCACTAGGGCGAATGTTGTCTATTTTGGCCTGAGTTTTTGGCCGTACAGAACAGATCACGCAAATTCAACAAGCCGTGCTTCGTGCAAGGCGAGTAGCGCTGAAGGTGTACGTGCCTTCCTGAGGCATTTTCCGGCGCAAAGCGTAATATATCATTAAGCATTGCTAAATACATCGTCTCATCACATGCCCGGCAGTCCTCCAAAGTGCGCCCCGGCACTGTCAGTGTCTCGGTGTCTCCAGTCAATGTGCTACATGCCTGCAGGTCAGCTCTGAAACAGAGACCGCACAGCCAGATTTCCCAGTGTGTGCTGTCAGTTGCTGCCGTGCTGCCGCTGAGTATTCCCCTTGCGATTCGCAGGTCCATTTGTACCTAGGAAACCATGACATACTCTCAGCTTGAATCAACGTTCTGCCCACTGTGATCTTCGAGCTGAAGCACCGGAAGCTTGGGGTCCGCCAGGGAGCCAATGACGGGTCTTGCGATGCCTAAGGATGTTGCAGTACAGCTTCTGCGCCTCTAACATGAGCACTGGTTTCGAAGCAGTGACGGGCGAAGCTTGCTGGAGATGTGCCATGTGTGATTGCTGAGGCCCGAAGGGGGCCTTCTTGTAGCGCCCTCGACGTTTCGACACAGCACAGTGCAAAGCCCAAGGCAGGGCCTCGGAGACTCCTGCCAACCCTGCCTCGGCCGTTACGAAGAAGGCACAGCTGGCCGACGTCTCGGCTGGACCCTGCACCACGGCGATGGGAGTCAATCCTCAGATTTTGTCGGGGTCATAGGGCGTAGGCATAGGGCTCGGAGAAAATGTCACAACTGAAGCCGGGCTTCGAGGCAGCACATCGAGGGTGAAGGTTTCAACTCGTGTGTTTTCTTCCAAAGACGAGAATGCACCTTCAAATGTTGCTGCCATTTCTTTGCACGAGTACAGCCCACAGAAAGCGGCACTCGGCGATATGACATGTCAGCACAGCTAGCAGAACCTGCGAAGTAGGCCGTGGCCCTGAAAGAGTGCGAGGAGTTCGCTTCGAAGCTGAAGGGAGCGAAGTTGATGACAAACCTGGGCATAGGTCGACGGCGCCCCTGTTGAAATGCTTACAAAACATTCAGCGGAGACGCGGCGAGGCCACTGTGTCCACTAAGGAACCAGCCTGACACATCAGCAAGAGCGGAAGTGTGTGGCGGACCCCACTCATGAAGGTTACCAGGTTGCGGCTTGTGCCAAGGAGCATCAGAAAGCCTGAGCCACGTGTCTGTTGTGTCGTTCTTGTACTCCCAGTCAACCTCGATGATCCGATTGTAGCCTTGTTTGCGGACTGCCGGGGCCGAACCCAAAGCACGTCTATTTCGAGTGTAGTCATGTCGAGCTGGGAAGTGACTCAAGGCAAGGAACGATCGGCATCAGAGCACGTGGCATCCTCCAGCAAGACCGTCTGCAAGCTGAACTCTACCTGCAGATCTCGTGCCGGGCAGGCTAACATTGGCGGAAATCCCTGGCCTCGTCACTGTTCAGGATAGTCGCATTTGCTGGGCTTGCAAGAACGACTTGAGGGGCCTCACGCACGCCATGTGCACATATTGCCCGCATGTGCCTTTCACAGGTTTCACTGCATCTGTCCTGGTCTACTCGCACAAAGGCATTGGAATAGGTCGCTGTCTCCACACCGAGCCAATTTCTGACAGCGGCCACGATCTCCAGCCGAACTCGCGGCACCTAGTTCGTGGACTACAGCACGATGCCCAAGCCATACAACAGCTGCAATCCAAGAGGCCTCACCGAGCTCCTGAAACACAGCATCCACACCAGCATTGAACTCCGCAGCCGTTATGCTCAGGACCAGTGAATCCTGAGATCAAAAGAGCCGCTTGTGACTGGACCCCCTTCACGCAGTCATGAACCACGGACGAAGTCTAGGCATGACAAGCTTCTTGGTCACTGGCACGTGCGAGAACTCCTTCCAGCGAACTTCCTCGTCAAGTGCACAAGCGTGATTGTAAAATCTGCATACTTCATGCTGAAGAACACCTGGCTTGAGACTCTGTGTTTGGTCACGAGTCGCATGGGAAGAGGAGTTTCGGGTCCAAAACTCCATTCCACGACATACGGGCGTCCGGCATCACCAGTCAAGTTCACACCTTAGGCGGGGATAGTGTGGAGGCGGTTTGAGCGGTTAAGGAAGCTGTCGACGGCTGAACCTAGGCATATTTATGCTCCCTGCAGGCACTGCCGAGGATGCTGTGCCTGCTATGTAGCTCCACCTTTCTTATCCTATCAAGCTGGGGAGGTGCTGCGGAAGTTGGCGAAGGCTCAACCACGTCTCAATTGTCTTAACCGCATGCGATCTACCTGATACTTGTGAAACCGAAGGCGCTCGTAAATGTCAGCGCGGTGCAGGACCTCGTGCTCTCGTGCGAGGAGACCAGCCCAGAAGTGGTATTGAAGAAGGTCTGCCTCGTGAAAATCGGGCCTGAGATGGTCGTTCCGCACCAACCAATACATCTACGCAGATCTGCTGCTTGCAAATCTCGACAGCAGTTTGCGTTCGAGTCTCTGCTTAGTGGCGGAGTTGGCAGAAAAGCGATGTTTCCTGACCGCACGAGTAACACTTCAGACCCTTGAAACCGTGCTTCGACAGTTTACGGTGCTGTGTTTTCTCATCTTGGGGTCCATATCTCGGCGCATGCAACCCCATCCTGTTGAAATGGAAGATCTATGACGATCTTACAGTGTTCATCTCCATCAAATGCGATCCTGTGAATTTGCAACTCTTGCCACCCCATGTCTGAACTGAATCTTCGGATCTGGCCTGCTGGCACCACAGTGTTTACACCAGTTGTCACGTTCTCACCCAACAGGAGCGTGGCAGTCGCACCTAGGTCCCAGGCTCCCATGTAAACAAAGCAAGCTTTGATGCGCCGTATGCATCTCAGCCACTGAGAGGTACGTCCAGCTCTCGGTGATCCTACAAACAATAGGACAATATATCGGGGACCAGAGACAACCCAGCCCAGCAACACCAAGCCACGCAACATGCACCCACACCGACAGAAGCATCGTCCTGCGACCAAACGCAAGTCTGCGGAGATCCGAGTGCTTCGTGCATTGCAGCATCGAAGATTTCGGCACAAGGCGCATCGTCTGCGAGCCAATTGCCTGATAACCGAACAAGAAGGCAGCATCGAGGACCCAGAGACAAGGAGCGGCAACAGGCCTGCACCCAGGTCAGCTACCAGACCGACGGTGCGCAGCCTCTCAACGAGCTCAGTTCACTCGCGGCTTAACGTTGAGTCCTTAGAGCCTTAGAAAGAACACATCTTAATCCAACCAAACGTCAAAACCACTACTCACGATGTACCTGAGTCCAATGACTTGCCAGAAACATCGAAAGTAGCACCTGGCAGGCTCATTGAACGTCAGGCGCAGCACCTCAGCACTCTCTTCCAGCGATCGATGAACACTTAGGCGACCCTTTAATTTCCGGGGCCTGGGGGCAAACGAGCAGCAACACCGAGACGCCCACGATTTAAGTCGAGTTAAAGCTTTGCTTCCAGCGGTGCGACAACACCGAAATCATCCGAAATCTTGATGCTTCTGAGAGGCCTGGAAATCATTCAAAACTTCGGCAGAGTCAATCGAAAGGAATACAAGGGTGGTCGTGGAGGACGTTGAGGTGGTAGTTGTACTGCTTGTCGTGGAGGAAGTGGTGCTGCTGACGGTGCTGCTAGTTGTTGTTGCAGTGTGTGTGATGGTAGTGGTGCTGGTGAGAGTCGTCGTCGTGGACGAGGATGTCGAGCTTGTAGAGCTGCTGGACGACGTCGAAGAGCTGGTGCTGGTTGAGCTAGTTGTGCTGGTGGTGGTGCTCGATGACGACGTGGTACTTGAGCTTGTCGTCGTGCTACTGGTGCTACTGGTCGTGCTGCTTGAGGATGTCGTCGAAGAGCTGGTCCATGTAGTGCTGGATGATGATGTGCTGCTGCTACTTGTCGATGTGGATGTCGTCGACGTTGATGTAGTGGTTGAACTTGATGAGGAGGTTGTGGTGGTGCTTGTGGAGGTCGTGCTGGAGGTGGTGCGTGTGGTGCTCGTGCTTGTCGAACTGCTGCTGCTCGTACTTGTTGAGGTGGATGATGTCGAAGTCGTGCTTGAGCTGCTGGACGAGGTGCTACTGGTGCTCGTGGACGTCGTGCTGGAGCTACTGCTAGAGGTACTGGTGCTGCTCGTTGAAGTTGAAGACGTGGACGTCGTTGTGCTGGAAGAGGATGAGGAGGACGTGCTAGTACTGCTTGTGGTTGTTGTGCTACTTGTAGTGCTGCTCGAGCTGCTGCTGCTAGTGCTGGTTGATGTGGTGGATGTCGATGTGGTGCTCGAAGTGGATGAGGAAGTGCTGGTGGTGCTTGTGGACGTGGTGCTGGAGGTAGTTCGAGTAGTGCTTGTACTGGTCGAACTGCTGCTGCTCGTACTTGTTGAGGTGGATGACGATGACGTGGTGCTCGAGCTGCTGGAGGAAGTGGTGCTGGTGCTTGTGGATGTTGTGCTGGAACTGCTGCTGGAGGTGCTAGTGCTGGTCGAGGTGCTACTACTGGTACTAGTTGACGTGGATGAAGTTGATGTAGTGCTTGACGTGGTTGACGAAGTGCTACTGGTGCTCGTGGACGTGGTGCTGGAACTGCTGCTGGAGGTGCTAGTGCTGGTTGTGCTGCTGCTACTGGTCGTAGTTGATGTAGTGGTTGAAGTTGAAGAGGATGTGCTGGTAGTGCTCGTCGACGTTGTGCTTGAGGTTGTGCGCGTGGTGCTCGTGCTGGTGGAGCTGCTGCTGCTCGTGCTTGTCGAGGTGGATGATGTGGACGTCGTGCTTGAGCTGCTGGACGACGTGCTACTGGTGCTCGTGGACGTCGTGCTGGAACTGCTGCTGGAGGTGCTAGTGCTGGTCGTGCTGCTACTACTCGTCGTAGTTGATGTAGTACTTGAACTTGATGAGGAGGTTGTGGTGGTGCTTGTGGAGGTCGTGCTGGAGGTGGTGCGTGTGGTGCTCGTACTTGTGGAACTGCTGCTGCTCGTACTTGTCGAGGTGGATGACGTGGAAGTCGTGCTTGAGCTGCTGGACGAGGTGCTACTGGTGCTCGTGGACGTCGTGCTGGTACTGCTGCTGGAGGTGCTAGTGCTGGTGGTGCTGCTGCTACTTGTCGATGTGGATGTCGTCGACGTTGATGTAGTGGTTGAGCTTGATGAGGAGGTTGTGGTGGTGCTTGTGGACGTTGTGCTGGAGGTGGTGCGTGTGGTGCTCGTACTTGTCGAACTGCTGCTGCTCGTACTTGTTGAGGTGGATGATGTCGACGTCGTGCTTGAGCTGCTGGACGAGGTGCTACTGGTGCTCGTGGACGTCGTGCTGGAGCTACTGCTAGAGGTACTGGTGCTGCTCGTTGAAGTTGAAGACGTGGACGTCGTTGTGCTGGAAGAAGATGAGGAGGACGTGCTAGTGCTGCTTGTGGTTGTTGTGCTACTTGTAGTGCTGCTCGAGCTGCTGCTGCTAGTGCTGGTTGATGTGGTGGATGTCGATGTGGTCGACGTCGATGTGGTGCTCGAAGTGGATGAGGAAGTGCTGGTGGTGCTTGTGGACGTGGTGCTGGAGGTAGTTCGAGTAGTGCTTGTACTGGTCGAACTGCTGCTGCTCGTACTTGTTGAGGTGGATGACGATGACGTGGTGCTCGAGCTGCTGGAGGAAGTGGTGCTGGTGCTTGTGGATGTTGTGCTGGAACTGCTGCTGGAGGTGCTAGTGCTGGTCGAGGTGCTACTACTGGTACTAGTTGACGTGGATGAAGTTGATGTAGTGCTTGACATGGTGGACGAAGTGCTACTGGTGCTCGTGGATGTGGTGCTGGAACTGCTGCTGGAGGTGCTGGTGCTGGTTGTGCTGCTGCTACTGGTCGTAGTTGATGTAGTGGTTGAAGTTGAAGAGGATGTGCTTGTGGTGCTCGTCGACGTTGTGCTTGAGGTTGTGCGCGTGGTGCTCGTGGTGGTGGAGCTGCTGCTGCTCGTGCTTGTCGAGGTGGATGACGTGGACGTCGTGCTTGAGCTGGAAGTAGAGGAGCTACTTGTGCTGGAGGTTGTGGTGCTCGAGCTGCTGCTAGAGGTACTTGTGCTGGACGAAGTACTGCTGCTTGTTGATGTTGATGTCGTGGAAGTAGACGTAGTGGATGAGGAAGATGTAGATGTGCTCGTACTGCTTGTGGATGTGGTGCTCGAGCTGCTGCTCGTTGTGCTGGTCGATGTTGTTGACGTTGATGTGGTGCTGGACGTGGACGATGAACTTGACGTGGTACTTGTAGATGTTGTGGTGGACGTGGTGAAAGTTGTGCTCGAACTGGTCGAGCTGCTGCTGCTTGTACTCGACGATGTAGTTGAGCTTGAGGTGGTGCTGGAGCTGCTAGAGGAACTGCTACTGGTGCTCGAGGAGGATGTGCTGGAACTGCTGCTGGAGCTACTGGTGCTTGTCGAGCTGCTGCTGCTCGTGGATGTTGAAGTGGTCGACGACGATGTAGTGGAAGTTGTTGATGACGACGTGCTCGTGCTGCTCGTGGATGTGGTGCTACTGGTGGAGCTGGTGGAACTGCTGCTGGTTGAGCTCGATGAAGAACTCGACGTCGATGTTGTCGTGGAAGTCGATGACGACGTGCTTGTAGTGCTCGTCGAAGATGTTGTGGAGGTGGTGCGGGTCGTGCTTGTACTTGTCGAGCTGCTGCTGCTGGTGCTCGTGGATGTGGTTGACGTCGAGGTCGTACTGGACGAAGATGAAGAAGTGCTTGTCGAGCTCGTTGATGTTGTGCTGGACGTGGTGCTAGTCGAGCTACTGCTGCTCGTGCTACTTGTTGTCGTCGAGGTTGATGTGCTGCTCGATGTGCTTGTTGAGCTGGATGTAGTGCTAGTCGAGGTCGAGCTGGTGGAAGTGCTGGTCGAGCTGGTGCTGCTTGTGCTGGATGACGTTGTTGAAGTTGATGAGGTGCTAGAAGTAGATGAAGAACTTGAGGATGTGCTGGTGGATGTTGTGGTGGATGTTGTACGAGAGGTGCTCGTGCTGGTCGAGCTGCTGCTGCTCGTGGATGTTGAAGTGGTCGACGACGATGTAGTAGAAGTTGTTGATGACGACGTGCTCGTGCTGCTCGTGGATGTGGTGCTACTGGTGGAGCTGGTGGAACTGCTGCTGGTCGAGCTCGATGAAGAACTCGACGTCGATGTTGTCGTGGAAGTCGATGACGACGTGCTTGTAGTGCTCGTCGAAGATGTTGTGGAGGTGGTGCGGGTCGTGCTGGTACTTGTCGAGCTGCTGCTGCTGGTGCTCGTGGATGTGGTTGACGTCGAGGTCGTGCTGGACGAAGATGAAGAAGTGCTTGTGGTGCTGCTGCTTGTGCTAGTTGATGTTGTCGACGTCGATGTGGTCGATGTCGATGTGGTGCTCGATGTGGATGAGGAGGTGCCTGTCGTGCTTGTGGAACTGGTGCTGGAAGTAGTTCGAGTCGAACTGCTGCTGCTCGTGCTTGTTGAGGTAGATGACGATGATGTGGTGCTCGAGCTGCTAGAGGAAGTGCTACTGGCAGTTGTTGATGTTGTACTAGAACTGCTGCTGGAGGTGCTAGTGCTGGTCGAACTACTGCTGCTCGTAGATGAAGAAGTGGTTGTCGAAGTTGTAATGGTTGAAGTTGTTGTCGTATATGTGGATGAAGATGTCGAGGATGTGGTGGAGGTAGTCACTGTGGTGCTTGTACTGGTCGAGCTGCTGCTGCTGGTGCTTGTTGATGTAGTCGAAGTTGAGGTAGTGCTAGAAGACGATGAGGAAGTGCTTGTCGAGCTCGTTGATGTGCTGCTCGATGTGCTTGTTGAGCTGGATGTAGTGCTAGTCGAGGTCGTGCTTGTGGAAGTGCTGGTCGAGCTGGTGCTGCTTGTGCTGGTTGACGTTGTTGAAGTCGATGAGGTGCTGGAGGTAGATGAAGAACTTGACGTTGTACTGGTTGATGTAGTTGATGTAGATGAGGATGCTGAAGTCGTGCTCGAAATACTCGTGGATGTTGTGCTAGTCGTGGTGCTGGTCGAGACAGTGCTGCTTGTGCTGGTTGATGTGGCTGATGTGGTTGATGTGGTGCTGGTCGAGCCGGTACTGGTCGTGCTTGATGTTGTCGCCGATGTGGTTGAGGATAACGAGGTCGTGCTCGTCACACTACTGGTGGTGCTGGTCGAGCCGGTGCTACTTGTGCTTGTTGTCGTGCCTGATGTGGTTGATGACAACGAGGTCGTGCTCGTGACACTAATGGTGGTGCTAGTCGAGATGCTACTACTTGTGCTTGTCGTCGTGGGTGATGTGGTTGAGGATAACGAGGTCGTGCTCGTCACACTCGTCACTGTTGTGCTGATGGTGGTGCTGGTCGAGACAGTGCTGCTTGTGCTGGTTGATGTGGCTGATGTGGTTGATGACAACGAGGTCGTGCTCGTCGCACTAATGGTACTGCTAGTCGAGATGCTGCTACTTGTGCTTGTAGTCGTGGCTGATGTGGTTGAGGATAACGAGGTCGTGCTCGTCACGCTACTGGTGGTGCTGGTCGAGATACTGCTACTTGTGCTTGTAGTCGTGGCTGATGTGGTTGAGGATAGCGAGGTCGTGCTCGTTGCACTAATGGTAGTGCTAGTCGAGATGCTACTACTTGTGCTTGTCGTCGTGGCCGATGTGGTTGAGGATATCGAGGTCGTGCTCGTCACACTCGTCGGTGTTGTGCTGATTGTGGTGCTGGTCGAGCCGGTGCTAGTCGTGCTTGTTGTTGTGGCTGATGTGGTTGAGGATAACGAGGTCGTGCTCGTAACGGTTGTCTGTGTTGTGCTAATGGTGGTGCTGGTCGAGCCAGTGCTGCTTGTGGATGTTGTTGTTACAGTTGTCGTTGTTGCTCCTGCAAGTCGCCTGCCAAATCCGCGGATGCTCTCCTGTCAAGTTTATAAACCCCTGTGGATGAACACACACACACACACACCCCTGTGCCAATGTCCTGATCTGCTTGTGGCAACTGCGGCATCAGGTTCTGCCAACGCAGTTGTCTTGCGCTCAGGTCCTGCAGGCTTCGGCGACCAGAACAGCCAGACACGGCTTTCATGCACTGCAAGCTGTTCAGGCTCCTCGTCTCGTGACTCCTGAAAAAAACAAGTGCATCAGCTTCACGGCTCTGTGCGTCGCTGGACGAATCACAATGTGGAACAAACTTTGTCCGAGCCCTGTCCCTTAGACGAAACCCTTGTCGAAACTGCCAGTGCACCGATAGCTGCCATGTACAGCCAAGTCATCGTGGAAGCGGTACGGACAGTTCGCACTGCACGGACACTGACACTGGTTTCAGACACGATGGCCAGAGCTAGGACAACCTCAGACTGAAAGCCGGGATGCCTCCAGCGTCTCCCGACGACACACATACTGAGGCAACCCAACCAAAAGCCCACACGCTAGGTCAGACACTTCCCAAACTGGACACAACCCGCGGCCATCTTCACTGGCTTTACCCTTCACCCCGTCTAGGACGAAGCATCTCACAAAGCCAGGGAGGCTTAGAAGTAACTTAGAAGTGTAATCGCTGCGAGTGCCACCAAGGTTCCCGGATCACTGCCAGAACTATGCCAAGCAGTACGACGAGAGCAAAGGCCCAGTTGAATATCTGGCAAAGCAACGAAAGGGCGCAAGGCTCACGGCTATGGAGTTCTCTGATGACACAATGCCGCCTGCTAACAGACACTCACCCCTTGCTTGTTTACCCACAGAGATGGCATCGTCTCCGCAGGTTTTCTCCGAGGCTTGCGAAACTTCATTGCTGATACTTGACCCGCCGGCCCGCCGGCCTTCATTCTGCTATCGAGAAGAGCTGGTGCAGCAGCACTCGGGTGGCGTGCTGCACTCTGCGCTCCACTTGTCAGCTACAGATCTGGGATTCGTAAGGAGCTCTGGGGCGAATGGAAGCTGCTTGGATGCTCATCCAGGCATGGTTGCTTTCTGCATGGCTAGGAAGAACTGACTAAAGAACATGAAGGCTTGATTTCTGGCACTACTGAGCATCACTGAACCAGGAACTTGAGCCTTTCAGCTGGGGGCATGGAACTGGCTGTTTGGTTGAGGGCTCAAAGGAGTCTGCAGATGCCTCCACGAAATGAACGGTTCACTAACTTCTGCAAGCCTGTGATGATACATAGGGGCTTTCAGTGAACACCATCATGCAGTAACTGCACATTTCTCCATCATCGAACGGTTTTTGAAAGAGATCAGTAGTGGATGATAACAATAGTCCATAACGATATGTAAAATTGCTTGGTTGGTGATAATAAGAAGTACATCGGTTGTATCGCTTCACGCAACTACTCCAGCGGCCGTTTCTCCCGAGCCAAGCCGGTGTCTGACCGATGGGTGCTGAGCGTCAAGCCCGCAGCACGAAGAACGACGGCGTAACTCGAGGCTACAGCAAGCTCCGGGATGTCGATGGTGATCAACGGCCAACGTCTCAAACACTAAAGTTAGTAAAACTACACTGGCACCCCGATCCCCTCGTTTCTTGCACGACAATCCCGAACAGCCCCGGAATATCGCGATGTTGTGACCGCCTTGAAGGGGATGCAGCAACAAGCGAACTGTGCAAGTCCTTGTGACTCTGCAGGATTTGCGAGGGACTCACAATCTCCAATGTGCGTGCGGCAAGCTCCAGAAGTACTTTTTCTGTGACGATGGAGTTGCTGCATCAATTCACGTAAGAACCCCTGAACTGCTGGAGCCACCGCAGGTAGCATCTTTTGATGCTGCTAGCTTTCTGAGTTAAGAACATTAAAGTATGATGGTGACGAATTCGGTTCCAGCCTTGCAAAGAAACGCATCCGACAAGTCAACAACCTTCCTTGTGGAATAATGACTGAATGCAACGCCACCCTCTACACAAGCAAGGCACCTCTCAGCGAGCACCCTTCTTGATGAGCTTTGCTCTTGCGGATAGGCACTGGCCAAAAATCTTGGAATTCGTGAAGGGTCACGGCATGAAGTCGAGAGCGACGAATTCGTTGCAGGCATGCTCCACCAACAGCTATCAATAGAACCTCGGACCGCGGGTATCGCCATTGTCGGAAACACAAGAGGAGGAGGCTGCTGGGATGCTGTAAGCATAGGAGGAAAATCTGCCCAGTGAAGTCTTCTCCGGCCTGGGGAGACCTTCGCCCCATGCACTCGAACTCGTGCAGTCGTGCAGTCGCAGCCCATGACAAAACATACACAGACAGCCGGTGAAGAGTGAAGAAGCAGGACAAGTCTGAAGCAAACACTTGAGCGACTGCAACCTTGAATTGGGTCTTGACTTATCTCATCTTGTCTCACTTGCCCCTACATGGCAAGAGTAAGTGCCATGGCCTTCGGCCATCGATCCTGGCAATTCCTAATCTCCGGCCCCCTTCATGCGCTGCTGGTGCTGCTACACATGCTGCACGAACTGCCACCTGGAACACGCTCGATCAATGCAATGCAGCCGTGGCGCAACGAAGGAATACCCACACTTTACTTGCGCGTCACAGAGCCCAGCCTAGATCGCATTTGTCCCAATTCGACAGTTGGACAGTTGCGACCCGAGCTTGTAGCCTGTCGCAGCAGAACTGAATGAAGAAATTTGGATCTCCAACATGTGCATCAAGCAGTGAGCCACAAGTGGCTAAAGTGTTGTGCCAACATCAAAGGGTCTGCTCTTGAAAGCATGTCCAACCTACGACGGCGCAGCTGCAAAGAGAGGTCAGCACCAGAAAAATTGCGAACGACCAAACCGCAGCCGCAACCTCAGTCTCGGAGACGATAATACGATCATGTCATGCTTCACTTCCTCTCAGAGCGGCACTGTTTTGGCCATGCACCAGTGTGATCTGCAGAATTCCTGGCAAGCGATTGGGGCTTTATCCATCTACATGGAAGCACTGCCTTTGAAAAGCAAATCACGCTTGTGCTGTAAGAACCGAAGCCTCTAAGACTCTTAAAACAATCTGAAACTATTCTCCGCCTCCGGAGCGCTAAGCTGCTCGGAAATCGCTCCAATGCGAAGACTATTCAGCCCGCCGCGCATATTTCCAGCACCCAGCTTGCACTGGCCAGCACCCAATCACTTGTACACTGTCCGCCTTGCAGGCCATGCGGTAGCATGCATCGTACTCTTCGCTTCGAGGAGACCGCCAGTGCAGCACCTACACGTCTTGAGGTTTCGGGCACAAGGTCCACGGCATGCGAAAGGACGACGAACAAACTTCCTTCTGCCAGCCTGCTTGTCTTCGGGTTCATTCCTGTACAAGAACGCGCAATCTCCTTTCCAAGCGCTCCTGCATTCGAGGGTGCGCAAACTTGCATGAGCACTTCCGTACAAGGGAAGCCGTCCTCCACTGCACTTCCTTATCACCGAAATGATAATCCGGCCCTTGGCACCCGCCCACTGACTCGTCTGGACTGAAGAAGAAACCTGCAGCCGGTGCTCAACGTCAATATCATTGCAGCTGACATGATTCAATGCATACATATTGCTATGCACACGTCACGGAAACCTTCCTCCAATCCTTCGTGATTGCTTGCAGTACCAAGCATCCAGGTGCATCGTACTTTTCTGTCCGTGCATACAGGCATGCAACGCTCGCTTCTTGAGCCGTGTATCTTGCTGGTTGCCGATTGCCGTCACGAGCTTGACATTCACAAGCTCAATTACGACGCCCTCGGCGACGGCAGCTGAAGCTATTGCACACAGCAGAAGCTGCTGCAACAGATGTCCGCTGCTTGCGTTGCAAGTCGGAGCACAGCCCGATTTCAAGCCAATGCACTGGAGAGAAATTGACTGCACGTTTTCCGGGAAAGCTAAATTGCCTTTAGCCGGTCACATAGGGCCAATTACCGCCAGATCGAGATGCAGCAAGTTAAATGTGGCACGCACAGCCTTTCAAACAAGGTCTTTTGAGACTGTACAAAGCGCACCCGAATTAGAAAACGCCAGCGACGTGGGCCAAAATCTTGTGGCATAACAGATCACCAAGCTGTCTCAAGACCAGCACACCATCCATAGCAGCATCACAACGCTTTCTTCGTTTAGCCGGTCTGTCGGGCCTGTCCTGTGGCAAAACATCCAGGCAATCGGCAGACACGTACACATATCCAGGTTGGTAGTCTGCATACCCTGTCTCAACTCGATGGTGGTTCACTGACCACGGGCCAGGTGGAGGGTTTGGCTTGTCTCGAACAGTTTTGCGTTGTTCGTAAGCCATAACATGCTGATCTTCTGTGAAGCGCTCATCATAATAAGCATGCGATGGCTTGTCAGGCTTGATAACGGGAAAGCTTTGCCAATGAATCTGGCTTTTCGTGAATTCAATATACGGACCGTGGTCGCCATACAATACACGACGATACCCAACCGCGATGACGATTGATGTGTCAAGCTCATTCACGAAAACGGTGGTGCTGTTTCCTGGCATGATGTACGGATATAGCCAAGACGATTCGGGAAAAAAACATCCAGCAACACAGTTGCTTCAAGCATGACCTTGACCTTGCTGTCCAAGGCTCCCTTTTCTGCAATCCCAAGTTTCTTTTCCACCCACTTTCGATCACGCTTCCGGTTCCAGCTGTCAACCGTTGAACGAAAAGTGCCGTCCGGCATGGGACCAAGAGGTGGCGCTGCAGGGAGGGCAGCGTATCTCCTTGCGGCGCAACTCGAGCAGCCACGATCGAACGACTGTGCAAGCTAACCGTTTGCTAACATCAATGTGCAGTCCTTCCATTGGATGCTCGACGTTCGGCACACATGGGCACATTTCGCTCTGGACTTGGGGATTGCTTCAGCAGCTCTTCCAATGCCGCAATTTGCAGATCTGCTGCCACGAGGTCCTTGAGATGCATTGGGGCAGCAGTCGAAACGTTGCTCCGGGCAAGATAAGAAACCAATCTGCAAGATGTAACTAACAACATGCGAGCGGCTCTTTCAACCTCGACGTCGTTCGCCAGCTCCTGCAAGTCCAGGATTCTCTTGTGGGCGTTGGTGGCCAGACGTCGGAGGGCCAAATGTGCAACGGTGCGCTTCCAAAGGTCCAGGTCTGCCATGTCTCCACAAGCAGCTCTCCATTTGGACGCGAAAGCAGCTCCTTTTGCGGCTCCGTGTTCATGCGGCAAGGCAGCACAATGACATCAAAATCGTATCATTATGCAAGCGAGGGTCCGATTGGACAGGCGTCCATCGTCAGACCAAACAACCACTAAGGCAGGCATCGGAAAAGCATGACTTGAGCCAAGAACAGAACAAGGCTGATGTCTGCATAGCATTTACCGTAGATTCCGCCATACGTCACCTCAAGCCCTAGCCAGCTCGCGCAGCCGCTTGCCTTGTTCCCAGTTGATGACGCCAATGATTCCCAGCCTCCGGTGGATACGCACATCACGCAGCAGCACCGACTGCAGAAAACACTTGGTTGTAGCTCAGGCGAAGGCGTCGCCGCAAGACCAATCGCTACACAGGGACAGCACACCTCGCACCTCAACGCTTTCACAAGCCGACCAGTTTCAACCGTTCATGCGCATGCCTACCCTTGCTGGCTTCAGTTTCAAGCTGCTCTCACACATCCAATCCCACGCCTGCCCGGAGAGGCACCATGCACCCAGGACAAGCGCATCACCTCTCGGAAAAAGTGCAAAGTGCAACATCCCGGCTTGTCAACTAATGATGTGGAGACAAATTCATCATATCAAGGAATCTGACAACCTGCGGGTCAAGCTAAGGTGCAGCATGCCCCAAGTAGTACCCAAGTACGGCACCTGGGATGCGATCTGGTCGCAGCCACGAATAATCTATTCCCGCCGGTGGTGCATGCCAACAGCACAACACGAAGTTCAAAACTCGCAATGGCTTGCGGATGATTTCGACCCGGAGGTTGCCGGTGCACTCCACGTATGGTGGTATTCTGTGTAGCCAACTGATTGCGGAGAAAATGTCATGTCCATCACCTGTTGACTGCCGCTCTTTGTGCAAGCCAATCGTCACTGCGCCACTGGCATGCATGCATGCATGCCTCTGAGATCATGAGACAACAGCAGCAGCAGCAGCAGCAGCAGCACTAGTGTTTTTGCACCCGTCTGGCTGAGCGAGTCGAGAAGCGTATCAGAATATTAGAAGATCAGTTCAAGATAGTGATTGTAGTGTGACTACATATAGTCCTAGTGGCCGGCACTGATCGTCGCAGTAGGAGCAAGAGAACCATGGCAGCAGCAGCCGCAGCAGAGTAACAACAGCAGGCAGGGCAGCTGGAGTGTGGCAGCATACTACCCATGGTACCTTAATGGCGGTAGAACTACTCTAGCAATACTTGCACCCCTGCGTTTTTTCCTGTTCCAAGTCTTACTCCTAAGGCCTATCCAGCCGCAGAAAAGGGCCCTTTAACGCCGCAACATGCCAGCGCTGAACGGCGACCGACAGCGTCCAGCCCAAACGGTGGCCGCGGCCTGGCGGAGGGCGGGTGGAGCACGCAGCCTGCGGAGGCGAACGAGGTCGCGCACGAGAGCCCTGGGCTCTCGTGCCCAAGCGGCCTCCTACCTCCGGGCATGGTGTTGATGCAGGTGTTGGAAGTAAGCAGCAAAGCGAGATGTGAGTGTATAGAGCATCGGCGCAGCGCGATCTGCATGGCCTTGGGTGCAAGGACGTAGGCTTCATCCGAGTGACTGACTGTCAGCCAAGCCCTGGCCTTCGTGGGGTCCTGCCTGACAGGAGGGCGCGCAGCTCAGCGTCGAATGTCCGCGTCGCGTGGTGGCGCCACCCATTAAGCCAGTCTCCCCAAGTGTCTATAGCGCCTGTGCCCATGTGGGACATAACCCTCCGTGGGCAGGAGGGCGCGGGCGTCGGAGGGCTTGCTGAGAGCTCGTGCTGTGGCTGTGGCAAGCGAAGCACCCGTCAATCTCCGCGATGCATGCGGCCATGAAGCAGGGGGCCCAGTATGCGCACCGCAGACTGGAGTCCCAACCCGCCCCAGGGCCGCAGGGATAAGTGTGGACACGGGCGATTAGCCAAGCCGCACGCGCATCGGTCTCCGGCACTCCGCCGATGCAGAAACCGAACCCTTCCCACAGAGCTTGTTTTCCCTCCTTACACCTTGTTACGACTGTGAACGTTAGCGTCCGTGTGCAACTCGCAAGCAGCCTGCGCCGTGCGGGCTGCGAGGCGGCTGCTGGAGGGTGCTTGCTACCAGCGTGCGTCAGCCAGCAGCTCGTGCAAATCGGGCGGGTCACCAGCAAACCGAGCTCAGCAGCGGGAGGAAGTTCAAAACGAAGTGGCGAAGGCTCGCTGCGCGGCAACCGAAAGAATGCCATTCCAGCGGTGCACCCAAGCGGCCTCAGCAGCGCGGCGCACGGCGGCAGGCTGCGCGGGCTTCTGCGATAAGTCGAAAGACTGTCGCGGCTTCCTCACTCCAACGCCCACCTAGTTTCAATGCCGAAGACGATAAGGCGGCAACGGCGGGCACGGAGCAGCTCCGGATATGTGTGCCGCCGCTTGCGCTGTGCCGCGCGGGCTAGCGAAACTCCCGGTAGCGCATCGGCTGCGGGCTGTGGCGAGCCGTCGTGCGTGAGTGGGAGGACGAGTGTCGCATCAACGGCGAGCTGAACTCCGTGCTTTGCACACGACCTCAATCCTCCCGGCGTTGCTGACCGGCATATCAAAGTTCATGTAAGCAATGTAAGCGACGCGAACATTGCGCGCGACTCGAGCGCCGGCTTCGCAACAGACGCGGGTCGAGGCTTCGGCCGCAGCGGCATGTGCCGGGGCAGAGCGCCAAGAAAAGACGCAGCCGACGAAGCAACAGAACCCGGAACTGTGGGCTGGCGATAGTGACAACGTCGGAGCTGGGGAACCATAAAGACCCCGGCCCGGCAGGGGAAAGCAGCATGGCACGAGACGCTGGGCAAAAGGTCAGTAAAATGCGTGCATTTTAAGCTGCCGCATACGCTGCTATCTCCAAACGAAGGACGGGGGCGACGAGCAGAGGGCGAGGAACAGCCAGGCACACTGTAAGTCGGGAGTTCGGGGATGTTCGGGGATTTTTCTTTTCCGGTGAGTTCGTGGAGTAGGCATGGTTCCTGCTCCAGCCGTTCGTCCGCCCACGCCTGGATGACTGCATGAAGGCCCACACGTCGACCACTTTAGGTGGGCGCTCAATTAACTCCAAAGCCACAAACCCAGAAACTGTCAACTGGCCATAGGCTTCATCGTCCGAGCACCGCGGCTGTGGCGAAGCCCAAGCCGGTGGCGAAGCAGAAGGCGATGCCAAGTCCCGCCAAGGCGAAACAGGCACCTCCGATCTTGACGACTCGGCCCAAGGTTTTGCCAGAGACGAGGAGTCAGTCCGAGCGGAGGAGCATCCTGACGGGTCTGTCCGAGAGGCCCGAGACCCTTCGCCACCGGAGCATTTGGTTCCTGACGGATGCTTGGCTCAATCTATCATCTAACCTACGGCTACGGTGCAAGCACGTCGCCCGCAAGCAGGGCGTGGTTCACGCGACGGCGAGACGGGTGGACTAGCACGGAGCCGGAAGTCGGCTCGCGGGCATTGGCTCGGTGTCCCGAGCATCCGCGAGCAGGTCACCGAGAGGTGGCTCCATGCCCGTCGCATTCGTCCGCTGCCGCCAAGGGCAACTCAAGCAGCGAGTAAGCCAGCGTGCGTTGCGCCGCCACAGCCAGCATGCCCGTCCAACGGTGCAAGGATGCACGCTGCACGGCCGGGCGTAGCTGCGCAGCGGATTCGCGCGCACGAGCCCTAGCCAACTGCCGTAAGAAGGCCACGGC